TTCAAACATAGCCCTCATATAAATTCATATTAGCAAGCAAAAACACACTTAACTAAAACAAACTCAAACAAATTGAACAAAATGAACTTCCCATCCCATACCCCCAAACCTAATCTAAACATTGTCCTCGATGTTTAAACTTTGTATGCAATGCAAGTAGGCAAAGAATATGGAATGATAACAATATAAACACAACATAAAGAAAGAACACAAACCACACTAGGTTGCCTCCTAGCAAGCGCTTTATTTAATGTCTAGGCAAGACATGGTAGCTTGTTCATGGTGTTGTAAACTCAAGAAAATCTACCACTTGATACACTGGCTCTTCCTCCACTTTCTCCAAATATGGTTTCAATCGCTGCCCATTGACTTTAAAAGAGGTGCCATTCTTCATGTTCTCTATCTCCACAGCTCCATGGGGAAATGTTTGCAGTACTTTGAATGGTCCCACCCACCTAGACTTCAGTTTTCCTGGAAAAAGTCTCAAACGTGAGTCATACAAAAGTACTTTCATACCTTGGTGAAACTCCTTCCTTAGGATGGCTTTGTCATGATAGAGCTTAGTCCGTTCCTTATAGATTTTGGCATTCTCATATGCCTCATTTCTAAGCTCTTCCAACTCATTAAGTTGGAGCTTCCTTGCTATTCCAGCATCCTTGTAATCAAAGTTGAACTTCTTGATGGCCCAATATGCACGGTATTCAAGCTCCATTGGCAAATGACAAGCTTTCCCAAACACAAGGCGATAAAGACTCATGCCAATGGGGGTCTTGTATGCTGTTCTATATGCCCATAGTGCATCATTCAACCACAATGACCAATCCTTCCTTGTAAGACTCACAGTCTTCATCAGAATGTTCTTGATCTCCCTGTTGCTAATCTCCACTTGTCCTGAGGTTTGAGGATGGTATGGGGTTGCCACTTTGTGGTTGATGTTGTACTTCTTCATCAAAGATTCAAAAGGTTTGTTGCAGAAATGGCTGCCACCATCACTAATAATAGCTCTTGGGGTTCCAAACCTACAAAAAATCACATCTTTAAGAAAATTCAACACAACCTTATGATCATTAGTTCTTGTAGCAATGGCTTCAACCCATTTGGATACGCAATCCACTGCCACTAATATGTATAAGTAGCCAAAAGAGGATGGAAATGGTCCCATAAAATCTATTCCCCAAACATCAAAGAGCTCCACCACCAAAATGTTGTTCAATGGCATTTCATTTCTTCGACTAATGTTCCCCATTTTCTGGCACCTATCACACTTGGAACAAAAGTCAAAAGCATCTTTGAATAAAGTGGGCCAAAAGAAACCAGATTGTAAAACCTTTAGAGATGTCTTTTTGGCACCAAAATGTCCTCCACATGCCAATGTATGGCTAAATGTTAGAATGCTTTGTTGCTCACTCTCTGGGACACATCTCCTAATGATTTGATCAGGGCAATATTTAAACAAATATGGTTCGTCCCAAACGTAGTGCTTTACCATGGCCAGGAACTTCTTTCTTTCCTAAAAAGAAATGTCATTTCTCATTACACCACAAGCCAGATAATTAACAAAATCAGCATACCATGGCTCTTGTTCTTGAACAACAAGAAGTTGTTCATCTGGAAATGATTCATTTAGGGGCAAGGGTTTCCCCACTCCATGGTTTTCATTAAGCCTGGACAAATGGTCAGCCACAACATTATCACTGCCCTTCTTATCTCGAATTTCCAAGTCAAACTCTTGTAGTAATAGTATCCATCTAATCAAGCGTGGTTTAGCATCTTTCTTTGTCATCAAGTACCTAATGGCTGCATGATCAGAAAACACAATAACTTTAGATCCCATAAGATATGACCTAAACTTTTCTAATGCAAAAACAACAGCAAGCAACTCCTTTTCAGTTGTGGAATAGTTAAGTTGAGCATCATGCAGAGTCCGGCTTGCATAGTAGATCACATGTGGAAGCTTGTTCACCCTTTGCCCTAAAACTGCACCAACAACATAGTCAGAGGCATCACACATTAATTCAAAAGGTAACGACCAATCTGGTGCCATAATAATAGGGGCCGAGGTTAGTTCACTTTTCAAAGTATTGAATGCATCCATACAAGCCTTATCAAAATGAAATACAACATCTTTAGCTAACAGATTGCATAATGGACGAGTGATCATTGAAAAGTTCTTAATGAAACGACGATAAAAACCCGCATGGCCCAAAAAACTTCTTACTCCCTTCACAGTGGTGGGGGCTACCATATTGGTGATGACGTCAATTTTGGCTTTGTCTACCTCCATTCCTTTGCTAGAGGTCACATGCCCCAACACAATTCCTTGTTTCACCATAAATTGGCACTTTTCCCAATTGAGAACCAAATTTGTTTCCTGACATCTTTGAAGTACTAACGATAGATGGTTAAGACATTCATCAAAAGAGGAACCAAACACTGAGAAGTCATCCATAAATACCTCAATGAACCTTTCTACCATGTCAGAAAAGATGGCCAGCATGCATCGTTGGAATGTTGCTGGAGCGTTGCAAAGTCCAAAAGGCATTCTCCTATATGCAAATGTGCCAAAGGGGCAAGTAAAGGTTGTTTTCTCTTGATCCTCCGGAGCGATTGCAATTTGATTGTAACCTGAGTAACCATCCAGAAAACAATAATGTGAGTAACCTGCCAATCTCTCAAGCATTTGATCTATGAAAGGCATAGGAAAATAATCTTTTCTAGTGCTAGAATTCAACTTCCTGTAATCGGTGCAAACACGCCAACTAGCAGTGGGCTTTGTGGGCACCAGCTCATTGTTTTCATTCCTCATCACAGTGATTCCCACCTTCTTAGGCACCACCTGAATAGCACTCACCCATTTGCTATCAGAAATGGGATATATGATCCCCACATCTAACAATTTCAACACTTCATTCCTAACCACTTCCTTCATATGTGGGTTGAGCCTTCTTTGTGGTTCCCGGGTTGACTTTGCCCCTTCCTCCAAAAGAATCCTATGCATACACATGGTAGGGCTTATTCCCTTGATATCTGCAATAGACCAACCAAAAACTGATTTGAACTCTTTTAACACCCTAATTAGTTTATCTTCTTCAATTGGGGTGAGATCAGAAGCTATGATAATTGGAAGAGTTTCAAATTCAGCTAGATATGCATATTTTAGATGTGGTGGAAGTGGTTTAAGTTCAAGTTTTGGTGCCTTAACAGTAGAAGGAGTTAAATGTGACATTGATGGTTCTAAAGGCTCTAACAGAGGTGAAACATTCAAAGAATACAATGCTAATGCATCCAAGGCAGCTACTTCTTCCATGAGTGCATCTTCTTCATCAAACTCATCTTGAGATTGACTCAAAACAGTTTGTAATGGTTCATTCGATTGTGCCTGCAAGAACTTAGAGAATACAAGTGAATCAAGCACATCAATGGCATAACAATCAAAGGATGAAGAAGGATGAGAAAGAGATTCAAACACTTTGAATTGAACTGTCTCTCCTAACACTGTCATAGTGAGGAGTCCATTTTGCACATCAATGATGGTCTTGGCCGTGGCCATGAAAGGTTTTCCAAGCAATATAGGCAACTCTTGATCATGTATAGGAGCTTCTTCCATGTCCAACACTACAAAATCTGCAGGCAAGATTAGTTTATCAACTTGAACCAGAATATCTTCTACTATACCTCTTGGATATTTCACGGATCTGTCTGCAAGTTGCAATGAAATGGTGGTGGCTTTCAAATCTCCCAAACCTAGTTGAAGGTACACTGAATAAGGCATTAAGTTGATGCTAGCACCCAAATCCAGCATTGCCTTTTCTACTTTCTTGTCCCCTATGGTGATGTTGATAGAGAAACTTCCTGGATCCTTGAGCTTTGGTGGAAGTTTTCTTTGCAAAACTGCACTCACATTCTCAGACACCACGACCTTCTCATGTGGGCCATACTTCCTTTTGTAGCTGTTTAACTCCTTGAAGAACTTCCCATATGCTGGCATGTTCCTAATGACATCAAGCAAAGGTAAGTTAACATTCACTTTGCTTAGTATATCAAAAATCTCCTTAAATGACTTATCCTGCTTGCTCTTAGCAAGTTTTCCAGGGAATGGTATTGGTGGAGTGTATGGTTTCTCAGCCTTGTGAAGATGTGGGGCTTCAAGTGAGGAATTAGCATGACTTGGTTCCTCATTTGGTCTATCATTGTCTCCTTGAGTAACACCTGCATTCACATGATCATATTCATCAGTAACTTCATTGCCAACTCTATTATCAATAACCTTACCACTTCTAAGTGTAGTGATTGCTTTGGCTTGCTCTTGGTTCCTTTGGAGTATCACTGGTTGGCTTGGAAACTTTCCAACTTCTCTTTGGTTCAAAGCATCTGCAATCTGCCCCAATTGTGTTTCCATTTTGGTTAGGGCTGCTGAATGTTGTTGGAGAGTGCTATTTGTGGAATGTTGGAATTGCAAAGTGTTTTGGGGTAACAATTTAACTGTGTCCTCAAGGGTAGGGGCAGGTTTTGGTTGGAAATTTTGGAATTGATTGTTGTTCTTCCATGAAAGGTTGGGATGATCTCTCCAACTTGAGTTATATGTATTGGAATACACATCATTCCTTGGCCTTTGATTGTAAGAATTCATGAGGTTCACTTGCTCTTGAACATACTCGGGGTAAGCCTCCCTAGATGGACATTGGTGAGTAGGATGGCTTGGTATGTTGCAAATGGCACACACTTCATTAGTTTTTGGCACCATATTGAGCACGGATTCAAGCTTCCTTTCTAGGTTAGCTACCTGCAACAAAAGCTCATGATTAGAACTTGTTTCATAAACTCCAACTTTCTTACCCCTTAAATCTTTGTGTTGAGCATTAGACCCCAACATCTCATAAATGTTATATGACTCTTGAGCATTCTTTTTCTTCAATGCTCCACCTGCTGCATTATCAACAGTTGATTGACAATTTTGGGTTAGTCCATCATAGAAAATTTGCATTTGTAAGTGAAAAGGTAACCCATGGTGTGGACATTGTATCAAGAGGCCTTTAAACGCTCCCAACACTCATTGAAAGGTTCTCCATCATCTTGTTTGAAGTTGAAGATTTGTCCCCTTAATGTGGCTGTCTTTTGAGTGGAAAAGAACTTCTCCAAGAACTTCTTAGCCACGGCATCCCATGTGGTGAGGGAACCTGGTGTTAGAGTCATTAACCAACTCTTGGCCTTATCTTTCAAGGTGTAAGGAAACACTCTCATCCTCAAATTTGCTTCACTAACTCCCTGCAAAGGTAAACCACTCACAACATTGTAAAACTCTTTAATATGAGCTAAAGGGTCTTCATTAGGTAAGCCATAAAATGAGGGAAACATATGAAAATGTGAAGATTTGAGATCATAGTTTCTAGCTTCTGTGGGTAGCAAGATGCATGAAGGTGAATTTGGTATGATTGGTTGAGCAAAGTCCTCCAAAGCTCCAAGTTCATCTTGGTTGCCCGCCATCTCTTCTTCTCTTTCCCAATCAAGGTGCTCAGATCCTTTACTTGTTGAACTAGGTGAATTCCTTTCCTCTTCCTCAAGGATAAAGGATGAACTTGATGGCACAAAGTTGTCCAAAGTGTGGCCCTTTAACCTTTCAATTCTTTGGCCTAACTCAACAAGTCTATTTGACATATACTACCTGAAACAAAGTAACACAAGTGTGAATGAAAGTCAAGAAGCAAACAACAATGAAAAGAACAAAGATCAACTAGCAAACAACAATGAAATGAACAAGAATAAACTTAAAAACGTTTGAAAAGACTCAAGGGACTCAAAACAGATTCACAAGACTCAAAACAAGCTAAAAACTCTCAAAACTGCCTAAAAACACAAACTGGGCAGTTTTGACACTAAACTCAACTTTGGACGAAAATTAGGTTTGGACTTGACTCAAAATGCTTCAAAGCACAAGATAAAACAGATTCTAAGCCTAAGACTTAACAAAATATGGAAGGATTTGTATTTGGACGAAATGCAATTAAATGGACAGATTATAAAGAAAACAGATTGTCAAGCAAATTGATGTAAACCAATGGATAATAGAATGGCTAAGGGATTCTTTTCCACACATGAAATGTATGCAACTTAAATCAACTTCTAGTTATCAATTTGACAAGTTATGAACCTTGACACTAATCAAAATAGCAAACAAGCAAACAAGCAATTACAAGGGACTGAAATCAGTCCCCGGCAACGGCGCCATTTTTGTTGATGCATATTTCCTACCTAATGCTAGAATATATTTAGTATAATGGCACAAGCAAGGGTGTCGAATCCACAGGGACTAATTGGACCTATGTAATTACTTGTTTTGCTAGAACTCTAAGAAATGAATCAAACTAATCAAAATAGGCATATTTGTTATTGTAACTTGAAAGTATGAAGTAAACACAAATAAATGAATCAACAATTACTATATTGGGATAGTATCAATGGAAATGAAGCTAGGGATTCGATTTCACCATTGCTCAATTAAATTCATGTTTGTTAAGTTAGTTTGTACTCATTCATCTACCTATTTCTTGAGTTTGTTTCACTTAGACATGATCAACCATATGATGTGTGGATTTGATCAAATGTCTCTAATCATGAACCTAATTGTGATGTGCAACTTTGGTTCATAATCTAGAGTATGTAATGCACAAGAAACTTTCATAAAACCAAAGGGAATAACTTGGCAGGATGTTTGCTAAACATTCCCTTCATTCATTCACATATCTACCAAGATTATGCATGATGTGTGTTTTAATCTTGGCTACACAACTTTGTGATTAATTCAAATGATGATCAAACATTAAAATCAACACACTAAGTCACCATTAAATCAGAGAATGAAACAAGAAATAGATGGACAAACTGAGCATTCTAACTTAATTACATGGCAAAATTTGCAAGGTTACATCGAATCCCTAGAGGAAGATTAGTTACACTTCATGTTTACAAAGGTTTAACATCAAAATATAAAACATGAATGAACATAGAATTGATAAGAATGAACCCTTGAAGCAAAACTGATGTTGAAGTCCTTGAAGAGTTCCTTGGTGTTGCTTCTCCAAATGTGGTACGGATGAAGGTAGAATGGTGGTGTTTGAATGGTTTTTGCCCTTGGGACAGAAATGGACCTAGAATGGAATGAAATGGGCAGAGAATCGAGGGGAAATGGAGTGGCTATCTGTGTGTATATGGACTGAATGAAGAATAAAACTTGCGGAACCTCTTATGTGTGAAGTATGCTTAGTTTAATAGGAATGAATCTTGTTGCCAACAATCAGATTGGATCTTCAATTTGTTTAACTCAAATGGCAGAGCATAAATCAGATGGAATGATGGGTTTGTGAGGTTTGGACGCATGGTATGGACAAGGTCTGCAAAGGTGTGGTTTGTTTAATCCAAATGCATGTGCCCTTGCTGCAACAATTGAGTGGAACCTGCAAAGGTGACTTGGACCACCAGAAAATGCTTTGTAAAAATCTAGAAAGGAGAAGGGATCACACGGCATGGACTAAGAATGATTGATTTTCTGGAATAATGGTTGAATAACGAAAGGGAAAGGTGCAAGCATGGGTTTTATTTAATTGAAGTGCATGTGTATTTCTGCAAAGATGAAGTGCAGAAATGTAATGGAATGCACGGAATGGATGTGGATCATGCATGTGAAGGTGTGGCTGAATGGATTAAGTAATGGAAATGGATGTTTTTGGCTCAAAAGGGAGTTGGAATGGCATGGGACACACGGACTGGATGTTAGCATGCATGTGACTGCATGTTTGATGTTTAGAAGTGCATAAAATGATGGGATTGTATGAGAACACACGGTCAAGGTTGTGACATGCATATGAATGCATGTTTTGGTGTTGGAACCACATAGTTGACTTCAATGATTTTGCCTTGTTTAGAATCACCCAATATGGCCGAATTGCATTTCTTAACACTTCACATCTTTTCTGGAATGTTTTTACTTCATTTGCCTTCCCATTGATCCAATTTCACTCTTGGCTGCACACTAACACCAAATAATGTAAAATGCAACTAGTTTAATCCAAAACAATCACAAAGACACCAAATAAGGAAAATATAAATGCATGCAAAATGTGACATATCAGTATATCACAACACTCCCCCTTGAGTGTGTAAGTACTCTAGTAGAAGGCGCATTAGATCTTTAAGAATATGTAGAAGTAGTTAATGAAGATGTCTTGTCTAGTCGGCACAAGTAGCGAATGTGACTCTCAAATCGAAAAGAAGAATGCATAGGTAGTATATCTTACAAAACCTCGCTCTGGTAAAAACCCATAGTCCAAGGAGAAAAGCGAGAAGTTGCATTAAGTCAAAACTAAACGTCTTTAGGATGCAAGTAGAGTGCTCACAAAGGTATGACTAGCCCACGATGGGTGTTTTGTTAAAACCTAGTCAGGTAGCAAAAACCAAGTGGGAAAAATACTCCTAATAATAGGGAAGAAAGTACATTAAGATCAAGTGAGTATATTTCTGGATACTCCCCTCACTTTGAGAAAACTTCCAAATGAGAACTACAAGCATTGGAAATTAGATAGTTACGTATACCAATTCCTTGGACAAGCTTCTGGAAAGTAGACTTCGGTAGTGACTTCGTGTAGATGTCTGTAAGGTTGTGTGGGATAAGCTTGTAATGCTCATGTTGATGTAGACATAATACACTTGGCGTTGACTTGTTGGATGTATCAAGCTATTATCTCGTTGATACATGCAGTTTTGTCTTCATAGATTGTTGTTGGGACTTAATGATGGATGAAAATCAAAGGTACTTCGAATGTGCTCAACAAGAGCTCTCAACTATGTCTCTCATATATGGCGTAGTAAGGCGTGGTGAGTCTTGGAACAACTAGAAGATTTTGCAACTAAGGTTTGGTTGACCTCCAAGATATTGTGGTGTTTTTTAATGTTTGAGACATAACCATTTGGGAACGTACATTGTGTGGATCAGATTGATAGTCTGAGTCAGAGAATCCCACAAGGTAGGCAGCTTATCAGCACTTAAGATGTCTGATCTAGTGCTTTGAGCTAATTATAATAACCAATTGCACTCATATATGGATTTATCAACTCTATAACCTCCTTGAAAGTGTCATTTGCATCTAGTGTACAAAAGATTAAGGGTATATTCGAAGCAACATCTTCTGGGTGTAGTTTGACTGGTAGACCAGAATACCGTTAGAAGTCAAAATTGACACTTCAAGTTGAGGACAAATTTCAACTTCAAGAGGGAAAAGACGCTACTAGGTAGGTTGCTGCTCTTAGTGGTCGATTCCAGTACATATGCGGTTAGCCAATCAATTTGTCCTCCATCAGAAGTGCAAAAGATTACTCAGTTAGAAGGATTCACATCCTTGGAAGTGAAGAAATATGGCACAAACAAATTCCTTCCTCAATCATTGTCTCAATCATTTCCATGAGCTTCCCACATAGGCTTCCTGGCAGCTTTCTGTTGATGGTCAGTGATGTGTATTTAAACTAACCTAAATAATAGATTAATTTAAACCATATTAAACTTGCAAGCGCACGAATCAATTGTAGTAATATATGGAAATACGAGGTCGATCCCACAGGGATTGCTTTAACACCAATTTAACCGATTAGATTAATTTAAACCAAATTAAACTCGCAACCGCACGAATCAATTGTAGATATATGCAAATACGAGGTCGATCCCACAGGGATTGCTTTAACACCAATTTAACCGATTAATCACGCTAGACTTAATTAAACAAAGGATAGATTGAATTGAATAATTGAGTAGTTGATTAAGACTAAAATTAACAAGAAAAAGAAAAGAAAAGAAATTAAAATAAACACACGACAAATGAAGAAATTGAGAAACAATGGAAATCTAAGGTTATGAATCCACCAACAACAATCCTATTTACTTTTCCTAGAGCCAACTACTATCCAATTACCTTGCCAATGTTAAAGGTTGTTCTTTCTAAGGTATGAATTAATCTGTGGTCAGTCATCAACTCTTGTATCTCTACACGATTATTATATCCTATTGGTTAGGCATACAATTAAACACATAAAAACCCATTAAGCATAGAAGAATCATGTCAACAA